GGGTGTGGGAATCGGCCGTGGGGACGTTTCTGTTCTGCGTCGGGAACGGAGCGAGTTGAACACTAAGGAAGCGGCTTCTGTGTTTATTCTCAGGACCTCTTGGTACAGGGCTACATTCTGCAAACTGCTCACAGAGGAAGGCTGCCCGTCAGTCTTAACAAGTGACCTGGCCACTGTGTCCCTCCCGGTCCGGCCGTTGTAGTCACGCAGGAGAGCCCTGGGCAGACTTGGGGACCCTGATCCCCAGGAGCTGGTGCTCTGGAACCTTCCCCCCCTTTCTCCCCCCCCCGCCCCACCCCAGCGAGTAGGCGTGTTTTCTTCCTGGGCCTGGGGCTCTCCACAGGACGGCACCTTTGTCCCCAGAGCGTGGAGGTCCCCAGGCCCCTGGTGCGGGCGGGTGGCTCTATATACCTCTTCCTCAGTCATGCAAATGCAAGTTTTTGTGGTGGGGTTGAGGCCCCAGCAAAGGATCTTCAGCCCCGCAGTGTCCGCGGTGAGATCCTGTTCCACAGGCAGATGTTTTCTCCTGGCCCCGCGGGGCGGGCGGCACCTCTGAGAGCCTCAGAGCTTTGCACATAGGATTTTATGCATTATCAGAAAAACTGCTGCCTTGAATGACAATGTTCTGTGAAATTTTTCGCAAAAGCTTTACTAGGTTTTTTTTAATTGTGAAATTTTGTAAAGGCAGGAAGCGGATTATAAACGAGCATGTGAGATATATTTTTCAAAAAAGCAATAATTTTACATGTACAGAAATTACCCTTAATCTTTAATACTGGTGAGAGCGACAGTTTACTTCATACCGTGATGGACTAGCGCAGTTTTTGTAGAAAATGGGCTTCTGATACAAAGATGTGTTTAAACCCCCCCCCCCCCGAAGTGTGGTTTCCTTGTTCTAATGATTTGTTGGATTATTATATTATTATTATTATTATTGTTATTAGTTAGTGTTTGGTTCTGGATTCTACTTGTTACTGAATTTAAATTACTTGATGGTTCAGGTTACTTTGTGACACTTGGAAAGAATGCAATGTAACCGGCTAGCTTATATACACATATATACATGCACACACGTATGCACACACGTATGTGTGTGTATATCTAATTTTTTACTTGCTTTTCCTGACATCTTACACCGGATGCGTCCCAGGACGACCTGTCCTGTTGGTGGGATTGGGAAAATCCTTGCAGACGTGGTTCAGTGACTGCCACCGGCCGTTTCCCTAAAGTTCTTTTGAGCAAAGTTGCAGATACATTCCTCTGTTCACCTTAGAAACCGCGAGGCCTTTCTGTTCTGATCGTTTCCCCGCAGCGATCCTTTCATTTCTCTGACTTTCTGTTTCTCGGCTGAAAGTGAATGGCCAGTGACAGTTTGGGGGACACACAGGGGCTAGCGACTCAGTCCCGGTCTGTTTCTCTGTGTTTGTCATTAAAATAATTTCTGTACCCAAAGTGACACGGAGGTGTCGTGTCCCTTCTTACTGTCTGAAAGCAGCATCAGGAGCCACCCGGCACCCGGAGCCGGATGTGTCTTCTGGGAGGTGCCTCCCCGGGGAGCCTGGTGGGCGGAGGGGTGGTTACGGGCCGCGGGCAGAGGGTGCAGCCGGGTCAGTGCAGGTGGTCACAGCTGCACAGCGTAGAAGTCGGGTTCCACCGAGTTAACAGCCGGGAGGGGACCCCCGAGAACGCCACCCTCCCACACACCGCGTCCCGGCCCCACTGCGGTTTCTCCTGTGGTCCTCGGTATTGTATCGGTTCGTTAGCGCCCGTCCCCGTCAGCCCTGCCGTAGTAGTCGACACGACTTGTGTTCTCTTATTTATTTAGCCGATGTGCTTTGATTTCGCTTCTGTCCGAGCGGTGGTTCTGTGCGGCCTCCTGTGAGGCTCCTCTGACTGTTTCAGACTTTCTACTACCTCTGGCGATCTGCTGTTTCCTCGATCTGCACGGGACTCCGCAGCGTTGGCGTCCGACGTGACTTGGACAATGAAGGGTTCGGCCGTCCGCTCGCGGCTCCTCCGTGTGTGCCCCCGGCCCGCCTGGGCTCCCGGGCGGTTCCTGGCCCTGCGGCTGCGCTCACCCCGCTTCCCTGGCTCCCGTCGCCTGCCCGTGGTCGCGTTCAGAGAACACGTAGGTGACGAGCTCACAGACGTCTTCCAGGCCACTCACTCCTGCTCCCCAGTGTGAAGAACGAACATTTACAGGGAAGACTCTGCTGCGGGTCACCGTCTCCGGGCAGCGGACCCGCTGTCCGGGCACTTTTCCGCCTGGCTCCCGGGCATGCTTAGGGCCGCCTCGGGGACAGGTTTCGCCTTGGTCAGAACACAACACATGTCTTCAGGCCACATGGGTTTTGCCTTTTTGGTTTTGGAAAGTATCAGATGCTTTAAGGGGTCTCCCCCACAGTTATTTATTTTTTGAACCGAGAGGGAGACAGGCTTCCTGAGGTTTCTCACGGCGATTCCCCGGGCATCGGCCTGTGGCCACCCGGTGAGAGGAGGGAGGCTGATCTTAGCCAGTCTGGCCACTCCACCCACAGGGTCCCTGACATCCCACCAACAGCCACGCATGGACACGTGCCCGGGCCTCGTAACTCGGCACACCTTCGAGTGGACTTCGGGGTGCAGCAGGGAGCAGGCTGCACCTCCCTGGGGTGCCGGCTCTGGGAGCTTCCCGGTTCTTGACACCAATAGAGTGGAGCTCGGAGGACGAGCGTCTCCTGCATCACGGGTGAGAGGTGTCCTTCCCGGCACCTCCCGCGCGCTCACGGCCAGGCGCTCTCCACATTCCTTCTCGAACCCCCGCCCCGCGCCCTCTCCCCCACGAGAGGCGTCAGAACGCAGGGAAGGGACCGCGCCTCTGCCCGGCTGCCTTTCCCTCTGAGTGTCGGCCGGGCGGGAGCGCGCCTGTTGGTTTACGGCTTTTAGCTTTGCTGAGTTCTAATCGCAGGAGGTTTAATTCACTGAACGAAGAAAGGAAACAGTGACAGGCGGGGCTTCGGGGGGGCTCCCACGCACGCAGAGCCCCGCGTGCCCTGTGCCCTGTGCGTGACCGGGGGAGGCTCTTCGCCCTTCGTCAGTCTTGCTAATTATCCTTTGAGGCAGCAAAATGCAAAAGACCATAGAATTTGTATTTCTTTTTTTAAATGCAATTTATAACATTATATTTTGTACTCTTTATATTAGAATTTGTAACTAGAGTGATGTATTTAACTCTATTTCTGAAAAAAAATTTCAATGTTTCAGCTGTGTGATAAAATATTTAGATAAAACATATCCGTTCTATTGGAATTTGAAATCAATAAAAACATCTTGGCGTTCTTGAGATTTGTTAGACCTTCGCTGCTTCAGGAGGCGGTTTACGTCCTCGGGCGGCCGCCGTGGTCTGTGGTTCTTTGTTTGCTGGCTGGACACGCACCGGAGGGATGGGGTCCCTGTTATTTAAGCAGACGCGCCTTTGGGGTGCTGCTCAGCTAGTTCACCGAGGGGGGTGCCAAGGTGGCCGGAGTGTTTTTTCGTCTTCTGTGGACTCAGGATATACACACACTTTAAAAATGTTTTTGGGGTGACCTCCCTTCCCCGGCCCAGCTCCTGTTCCCCACACCAGCCCACACGCGGCTATCACGCTGACCGATGACAAACTGTCCAAACCCGGGGCCGCGGGCGGGGCCCCAGTCACCCCGGTTTGCGGAGCAGGTGGCAGAAACCGTACTGGAGGCCTCGGGCGAGCTAACAGAATTTTAATTTAAACATGAAATGTACGCAAGAGGAATTCCTAGGCCTGGGCGGGCCACGCGGCGGCCTTCTCGGGGCTCCCCCTGCAGGCAGGGCGAGGCGGCGCCGACCCAGCGCTCGCCCTGGGCTCCGGGCTCTGAGGAGCTTTGTCCCCACTTCTCCAGAACCTTCCATCCCGAACTCGCCCCTCCCGCCACTAGGTGGCAGGCGGCAGTCACGTGAGCGCAGAGCGGCGCCGGTTTTGAATTCACGCACTTTATTCGTGAACACTGTCGGCAAACACTGAGCACCTGCTGCCAGCCGGGCAGGCGGGCCTGCTGCCTGCTAGGGGCCGCCGGGGTGACGGGCGAGGGAGGGCGCTCGGGGCGCAGGGTCCCTGGCGCAGGCCGGCCACGGCATTCCTCCCCCCAGACGGGAGCACCTGCGGCGTGGCCCTGGGCGCCAGGCACCTGGGACGGTGGGTTCG